TTATTATTATTATTGAATGTTGTAGCTAAATTTTGGCGAAAGTTTTTGTTTTATATTATACTGGATTATTCCTTTGATTGTACATGCCTCTTGTTTACTTTAATTTCGAGAATTTGAGCATACTAATTATGTTTCGCAAATATTGTTTGCTTTATGTTCCGGGCACAAGAAATGAAATTAGTTCAGCCGTCATAGGCGTACGGGCGGGAAAAAATCAGGGAGCCAGAAAGAAAATTTACCCGACTTTTACCCACTGAATAAAATTTTCCGTGTAACTAAATTTCCAAAATTGTCGTTGGGAAGTAGACAAAAATATTTTCCTATTTGTCGATTCCTCGTTACTTTTACATATTTCTGGTATTTTCAAATACCATATTGCATGTACTGTCTTCTTTTTAAAGTTTATTTCCCCCAATTTTTGCCCGAATTTATACGTTTATAATTTGCATGACTTAATTTATTTTGACTGGGGGGCGGGGCTGCCCCCCCCCCCCTCGCCCGTACGGCTATAATCAGCCGTTGTTACGGATCGGTTATATATTGTGTTAAAAATATTCTGACTTTGTTGTTTCTGATGACTTTTGCCGACTCTCGACTTTTTACTCTCGATCGACTTTCGACTTTTTACTCTCGACTCTCGACTTTTTACTCTCGACTCTCGACTTTTACTCTCGACCTATACTCTCGACTCTCGACTTTTAGATACACTCTGTTTCGGTGGGTGGTCATCATCACTGATCTCAAAAATATGGCGGACTGTCATGAATAGCGGACACTGATTGGTCCAATTTAAAGTTTGCATTATAACGACTGCATGACGACAGCGAAATAGCAAACATTTCTTGATTTGACGATTGATAAATTTCTTGCAAATATATTTCATTATTACTCGCATTTCTGCAAGATTTTGTAAAATATCAAGAAAGAAAGGGCGAAAGAATCGGCTAAAAGAAATGAGCCGACGTTAACGAAGATAAGTTTGTTTTAAATATTGATTATATAATTGCTTTAAAACCCGACGGCCTTTGCGTAATATGAAACAACTAAACAAGACAGCATATAATTCCAGTGTATCTTTTACCATATTGATTCCCTTTTTTATTATATTGATTTTTTTTAAATTAAAGAGAAAGCAAAGTTATTTGCATGCGAGAATTTGAAATAATTTTATTGCAAACTCAAAGTTTATCGATAAAGCCGGCATTTTATAATCAAAGGCAGTTTTAATAGTTTTATAAAGAATACTTTAAAACGTTTTGCGAAGCGTTTGTGGTTGAATTTCACCTTAAATTGAAGCTTATATTACGTATAATAATATACCTAACATATATATGTTGGGAAATTGATAATTTTGTAATTAAAAGTGATATTTTTAGGCGATTCACAGAGGGCGATTCATTTGTAAGAATATTCTTAAAAAATTATCGTGTTACCATGCATGACAACTACTCTAGATACTTCATGTTCGGAAAATAAAATGGTTTTGTCAGCAACGCGAG